TCCCCCCATGACCAATCACCTGCAGGAACATTAACTTGCCATTAGACTGTCGCTGTCAAGTGTAAAAACAACCAAAATAACAGGATTAATGTTTAGCATATATGCCATTTGCACAGAAGCAGAGGTGTAAATAGCATTCATTTTCAGGATTGCAGTATTGTGTATGTGCTCAGGGTCGGGTTACACTTGAACACAACTAGTTTCTACAACATGCAATGATTCAAAGTGACATTGTGTCTATACCTGTTCTGAGAAGCAACACTGGAGGGTGCAATGAAAAGCTGGTCATCACAGAGAGGGGAGCAAATTGATTTCATTAAATTGAGGGGTAAGGACACACGGTGGAAGGCATTCATAGTGTTGCACTCAGATGTTCATGTGAAAAGTAACAGAAATAGTTCAAAGCAAACAAGGAGCACTTCAAACTTTAGCTCCTTTCTCACCTTAGCCACTGTAAAGTGGGTTGAATGATGCTAATTTCCATCATTTAAATTTAGATCTGTGAATTGCAGGAAAAAGCTTACAGATTCTCAGTCTGTTCATTCTGACGTCCTCTGGTGATGCAAAATGTGACTTATGAGTGAGATATGAAACAGTGCCATTTCAATAAAACCCCACTGATAACTTCCCTTCCCATTCTGCACCCTCAGCTGCAGAGGGTGGGTCAGGATCAGATTAAGACTTCCGACCCTGGAGCTGGATCTGGCTCAAAGACACTTCAACAGGGTGGATGGTTACCAGCCATACCGACCCCATGGTCAAAGGGCACTTCTGCAGCCAGTATGCCAAACCACTGCTGCCCAAAACTGTGTATAATACTCAGCTGGGTGGGAGGATGGCTTACTCACCATGGATAATCTTCTCCGGATGATGATCAGTGCAACAGTTGGACTGTTGAGACTGAAACTCAGCACCAAGAGGAGGTTCCTTCCCCTTGCTCACCTTCCTCTGACGCAGGGCTGTCATGCTGAAGCACTGCAAACAGACAGGGACCAGTGTGTTTGATTACCCATACATATGATCAACACATCAGCAGATACCAAACCTAGGCAGAGGCATGTGCGTTATTCTCAACACAAAAACGATGTGTGCACTAAAGCCATCTGAGCCAAAGCAAACAATGGCCCCACTGTGTGTTTTCCTTCACTGTTTGTAACCTTCCGTTCAAATGCTGATAGATGGGGTGAGCTGGCCTGCTTACAATGGCATTTCCTGGTCACGTTGCTGCCAGAATAACGTGAAACACCACTGTGTCTTTCCATCTGGAGACACAGACAGCACCCACATCACCCGCAAACTAACGTTATTCATCGTACTGAATTAAGCCGGATGAAATACACGTCCATGATAAATTATCACAAGGTATATTAGTGACGCTAAGAATGAGACACAGGATATGATAAGGTAGGCTTAATTTCCTATTGTGTAGCACGTATATGCTACTACAGCCCTTTTTAAAAATTTAATTTGCATTTTGCTTAAAGGCGCGTTCCTGCTACGGACGCGCGAGATTTTCTTTCTGTCAGCAACAAAGACGAGTACGATTTGAAGCAGCGGTACATTTATGTCTCACCCTCCTCTACAGCAGCGCTTGGTAGGATGGTCCGACGGCTTTCTTCTACCTCCCTCTCTCTCCCCCCTGTTTCCCTAGGTCTCTCTATCTCACTCGCGCTTTCATTTTTCTCCCATCATTTCCCCCTTCCAGTTAAAATAGATCGGTTAGCTTCACACCACACTGGGTTCAACTAACCACGGTCGGTAGTACCGGAAAACCACAAAGTCTGCCTTCAAAATAAAAGTAGGAACGTCACTTTTGCTTAAAAAAGCAGAAGTTTCACATTTTCAGACTGAAGGTGACAAAAAAAAAAAAATCTCTGGATTAAGCTAATGGTTATGGCCATTGGCCGGAGATTATGGTATACTGGAGGATAACAAATTATATGGCAGAAAAAGTAACAGGACAAAATTAACAGTGTCAAGGATGATTCATCTATTTAGAAAAGATATGTCACTTAGAATTAATGTCACTTAAAAAAAAAGTCAAGCCTATCCAACCAGCCGAACAATGTGGACATAACTGTAAATGAAAGTACGACTGTTGCTTTGTGTCTGCTGTGATATATAAAAGGGCAGCTGTTTGTTCACCTCAGTAGTTTTAAACAGAGTAGACAATTATGTCTTGTTATTTTATTTTGGAGGCCTTCTCCCCCGAATCAACATTAACTGATTACAAAAAAGGATCAGGAAAGGAAACTAATACACTCAGTAGGCTGATTTGCAAGCCTGGTTTGTAGTAGAAGTGACTAGATACTGTCCATCCATCCATTATTTATAATACTTGTCCTGTAGAGAGTTGCAGGGGGGCTGGAACCAATCCCAGTCGACATTGGGTGAGAGCCGGTGGGGGTACACCTTGGACAGGTCGCCAGTTTATCACAGGGCTGACACACAGACAGCCACTCACATTCACACCTACAGGCAATTTAGAGTCACCAGTCAACCTAACCGGTATGTCTTTTCACTGTGGGACGAAGCTGGAGTATCTGGAGAGAACCCACGTAGGCACAGAGGGAACATGCAAACACCACAGGCCCCAGTCAAGATTCGAACCCAAAACCACTGCTAACCACTGCATTACCATGTCACCCCGTGACTAGACACCACATGCGGTAAGTAATAAAAATGGCAGGTAATTTTTGACAATGCAAATCTGCCACGTTGGTGTTAAATCGAATTTAGGTCAAAGTGTTTATTTGTCATATGCACAGTTAGGAAACGTGTTTCCCTGTACAATGAAATTCTTACTTTGCCATCCACATGAATGCCACACAATACAAGTGAAATATAAAGTAGATGAGCAGTAACACAAATCTAGACTAGAGTAGGTACTTTATTGATCCCACAGTGGGGAAATTTCTGTGTTACAGCAGCAATAGAGAACAACCAACATAACACCATAAGAACAGAACTTCATAAAAACACGGAAAAGAAATCTAAATAGGCACTTTAAAGCAGCAAGTGAAGGAAGCAAATAAAAATACAAGAACAACACAATATAATGCAGAGAGAATATATGCTATGTGGGAGCCGTGGAGTGCAAATACTCAGCAGTGGATGTGCAATTATTCATGTGCAAAACAAGTATGTAAACAGTACAGATGGAATTATATGAGGTAGATCCTGAGTCAGCTGTTTAGGAGTCTGATGGCAGAGGGAAAGAAAGAGTTTTTCAGTCTAGAGGTCCTGCATTTCACACTTCTGAGCCTCCGACTGCAGGGTAGGGGTATGAACAGTCCGTGCTGGGGGTGGGTGGGGTCTTTGAGGATGGAGGCAGCTTTCCTACGCACCCTGTGGTGGTAAATGTTCTGCAGAGAGGGCAGTGGAGTCCTGGTGATCTTCTCCGCAGTCTTTACCACTCTCTGCAGGCGCTTGCGGTCCATAGCAGTAGTGCTTCCATACCAGACAGTGATGCAGCTGGTCAAGATGCTCTCAATGATGCAGCTGTAGAAGTTGCAAAGGATCCTAGGTGATATGCCAAACCTCCTCAGCCTCCTCAGGAAGTACAGCCACTGTTGGGCCTTCTTGACCAGCTGTGTGGTGTTAAATGTCTAGGTGAGGTCCTCACTGATGTGGACACCCAGGTATTTGAAGCTGCTCACCCTCTCCACTTCGAGCCCCCGGTTGAACAGTGGCTGATGAGATCTCCTCCTAGATTTATACTCATTACTTTAAGCAAAAGCCATCGATAGGCACAAATTCTTCAAATGACACCTTTTGTTGTTGTTACTGAATCATTGATCTGTCCCTGCCAAAATCTCTGCTCTCCTGCTCTTGCTTGCTTTCTGGCAGCTGTGGCTGGTCAGAGACCCTGAGAGGCATGCCACAGTACATCAGCTACAGCTCCATCCCTGGCTCAGATCATTTATGCCAGAACAAATGCCCAGGCTCCTCCTCTCACCTGGGCCTATGCTGCTCCTCTCTTGTAACTCTCTGATAGACCTGTTGCTGCCTCCGTTACCCGACAGCGAAACAGCCCCACCTTATATACAATGCCACCCAAAGACATACAATAAGGTCATTCTTTATGGGAAATTGTCAGAGTTTTTTGAAGCTTGACCCATAACAGGTACTAAAAGTCATGACATTTTAAGGTCTTTATTGCCGAGTTATGCAGTTTGGCCAGATATGGCACTCTAGGCAGAATCCTGGTGGTTCCAAACATATTCCATTTATACAATTATTGAGACCACTTTGGTCCTGGGAGCACTTAAAGGTTTAGATATGGTTTTATATAGCCTTGCTTCAGCATACTTTTATCGCAGAGGTCTACAGAGAGTTCCTTAAAACCTCATGGTTTTGATTTTGTCCTGACATGCAGTGTAAACTGGGGGATCTCACTACAAGTGTGTACCTTTCTAAACTATGTCCAGTCAATTCAGTTTGACTCAGATGGACTGCAGTCAGGTTCCAGACACATCTCAAGGAAGATGAAGTAAACAGCATTCACCTCACCACAGTGTGGAGTGCCACATCAAAGGGTTTGAGTACTTTTGTGAATAAAAAATGCAACAATCTCTGAAAACATTAAATGTACTGAATACTTGTTGAAACCACTGTACATAGAACCTAACATCAGTCCAAATTAAAAATAGTATGTGACTCCTACTAGTAACCCTGTATCCCTGAATAGCATTTGTAATCACAGTTTATTATTGTTGTCCACATATAGTAGGGAGGTAATGTCATTTTAAAAAATTTGAAAACCATAACACTGGCAGAAACATTAGCAATCCTGCTATAAAATTTAAATTACAGATAAATGATGGGCACTTACATACTACAGTGGTTTCCACTGAGTAGCGGATGTGTATACACAACACACATGCTGGTTCTATTGTGCAGAGCTTTCATCAACTAACATAAAAATACATCTGGTATTCAGCAACAAAAGCAATCTGCAGGACCCCTCAGGAAAAAAGGTAATTACAGTATTGTGAGAAATAACAATACACATGTAGATGTTTGAGGCTAAGATTTAATGGTAGAGGGTTGTGTATACTGTATAGTATGCTGATACTTTCTGCTGGTAAAGGAAATAATTAATTTAAAGGGTCAGTTCCCCAAAGTCTTCTTACGTCTAGTGGTATCTATTCCATAGACAATGTTTTCATCATACATGTCCAGGTTGAGAACTGCCTATAGCACAGAAAAATTACATTTGAGCAATTTTCCATAGTTCTTATGGAAACTGTTCACAGTGTAGTCTGTGAGTCATTCTTTAAATGTTCCTTTCCTGTTTTACATACAGTATGTGCATTATCATGAGAACACAACTCCCACCACTACACAAAGAACTCAGGTCAATCAGTCAAAACATATTCACAGACTGTCTTGGCAAGCGCCCTTGAGGCAGCAAAACAGCTTGAGTGGAAGAACTCAGTGCATTCAGACAGAAAGGACAGTGTGTATGAGCAAGGGCTGACATGGAAAGACCTAAGGATTATCAGAGAGATTTAAGACAATAAACTGGCTGGACCTTTGCAGGGAAGAATCATTATTGGAGAAGAAAACAGACTGTTTAATGTCTGTACTCTCTGACTGTGGGCCTTTAGCTCCTGAACCATATTACACTCTGTCTAAATATATCCCTTATGCCCTCCGCTTTCCTTTCATGCCTCTAACTTTGTCATCCCAAGCAAGGGAGTGAGACTGCAGGAAGATGGCACATTAAAGATAACCCTCCTCACTCCCAGTGTGCCCAATCGGCCTCGCTTTAGCCAGCTCAGGATTGAAAATTCTCTTCTTTTTTCACTCACTGTGCATTACCCATTAAACTAGTTGAAAAGCAGACCAGTCGTGAGAGTCCCTTGAGTTAATTCAGAGTATCTCCAACTACTCACCCTGTCCTCACCCTCATTTCTTTCTTTAGCCCGTTCCATTTTTCATTTTTGCCTTATTCTCCACTTTCATGGTGGGCACTTAAAAGGTTTAGGTAGCAAACTTGAACCTGGAAAGAAGGGACTAGACCAGGATGATTTTTTTCCCTTGTGCAGTCAGGGTGTCATGTAAAAGAAAAAGGGATTACAGAAACAGACTTTTTCTTTCAGAAAGAAAGAATGTGCATGTGTGTATGTTTATGCATGAGTGTGAAGTAATGGAAAATATTGCTTATGCATAAAAAAAGTAGCAGAGAGAAACACATTTACAATCATACTATTCTTCTACAAGAGTAGATGTTATGATATTCTCAGAAGTGTCAGAGGTGGCCTCATGGTTACAAAAGTGGTGGTATAAAACCTACCTGCAGTGCCACCCATGGTGCAAGTTGTACAGGTCTGGAACACACATCATGTCATACCTTTTATTAGTTCAGCTTAAGATGAGCCGTCCACAAAAAAAAAAACTTGAAGCAGTTTCTAGCAGAATAAATAAGTTGCAGTTCCCTTTCACAGCTTGTAAATGCTAATAAATAACAAGTGAGCTTCCTCCAAGGGTGGGGAACAAACTGGGCTTGCATGAAGACAAAAGAGCATGTACGGATTATAAAACAACGGGCCCTGGGCCCTTTGCCCCCTAGGCCTGTGCTCAGTAGGCTTGTTCAGTAATTCATCTATGTTAATGATGTAAGAAAAGATTTAAACTGATTTTAATGGGAAACTGATTTTATTTTGAAAGCGTAACAGATTGGTCTCTCTAGAGTGGGTTTTTTGAGAACAACATGAAGTACAGTGTGATGTTAATAGCTGATGATAGGTGGGCACCCCATCAGCCAAACAGTTACACTGTGCCCCACCCTATATTAGGCTCAGTGTGTGCGTGACATCAGCGGCTTGGGTCTGAGCACCGGCCTTTGTCGCAGGTCTCCTCATCTGTCTACCCCATTTCCTGTCCGCCTCTCAGCAACGCACTTTAATACCTAATCAAGACGAAAAATGTCCCCAAACATTATTGAGGAAAAAAAAAAAAAGTTGATGCAAAGAGAAAATCATTGCAGACCCATAGCACTTACACGTCAACTGACAGTTAATGGATTTCATTGGCTATTCCTTAATTTGTTTATCTGCAGTCAGTGCTAAAACTTGGTGAAGATTTTCTTTCACATTCTTGAACTGGCAGAGACTTCACTTTAACTGACTCTCCAGGCTCAATTGATAACTTCTTATTTTTCACCTCCCTTTAGTGCTTGAACATCACTGGAATCTTCAACTGCCTTCAGCACTTTCACTATATTTCATACTTCAGAAGAAGTGAAATAAAATTTCTTGTGTCCAAATACCAATAAAACAGCTTTTGGTTCTTATGCTAAATGCATTTAAAATAACCTGACTGCTAATAATAATGCCTATTATTATTAGAAATTATATGCGGAGATGACAGATACAAGGTAGATTTTTGTCCCAGTTTATGAAGAAACATATGACTAATAACATCTGAACTGTCAGAGGCATTCTGTCATTTCACAAATGTGACCAGGGTAAAAAAAGGCATTTATTTCTTAGGCTTTATTACCAAAAATACAATGGCAAAGTAGTGACATTATATGGTCTATGATGTTCTAAAAATAAATAAATGTAAAGCAAAGCTCACACTGCCATCTGAAATGGCTCCATATTGAACATCTATTACAAAATTGAATACAAATTGAGTACAAATACACTCCTCAGTACAGACATGCTAAATCCACCTCTTTTGGTTTAAATGAGCAAGCTCAGTTTGCTGTGCTTAGCTTAAAACACATTTCCAATAGACTAGTAGTAAATAAAAACAAATCCAAAAGTCTAACTTTTGTCTGAAATGTTTTTTTTTCCTGCTAGATCATTACAAAATATTTTAAAAAATAAAGTCAGTTTTAATGTTCTGCAGTGTTTATCTACAGTATGTACACATAAAATACTGAATCAAGTGTTTGGGCTCATTACTAGGTGAAACAGCTGTAAGATGAGATGGTTTATTTTATATACTTAGCTTGTATATGTTACTAGATCAACCCAAACTGTTAAATAAAAAGAATATGTAAATTTGCCTCTATGGAAACCCTACTGAGGTGATCAATATTTTTGCACCAAGTTCAATATTTCTTACTAATACAATAAAACATTTCTCTAATAATTGGATACTTAAGTTTTGGCAGAGGTCAAGAGAGGTTCTGTAATTGTGGTCTGAGGGAAATATAACTGTAGTGAACAGGGATACTCTTGCTTTTACATGCAGGGTCTGCTGCCTGTGTTAACATATTTTAGCAATTTGCGACACCAAATGGGATGATATCAGTGCCTGCAAAATCCTACTTGACCTACATGCATTTATCCAAAGGGTTTCCCAGCTATAAGCTCAGCTTTACAGTAATTCCAACAAAATTTGACTCAAAGTTGTTTCGTTTCTTGAAAGAGTATTGAAATGATTTGGTCTTAGTTGAAATATTGTCATGAGGTATTTTGTAGTCAATGGTATATTTCCACACACTGCAGAGCTTGGGTTGATTATAATACTGATGCTCACATCAAAATTTAAATATAAGAGTGGAGCTAATTACATTTTTCTCATTTCCAGCAACACTCATGAAAAGACGAAGATCAATATTTATCAGATCCTACTGACAAGTACGGTCTGTCTATCCAAAATCTCTATATTACCATAATGATGCACTGCAGGTGACCTCCCACATACACACTTACACCCTGCGAGAATTCTCAATAGCATACTACATGTGCAGGACTGAAAACACTCAACAAATGCAGTACTCACTGTCTATTTGAGTAACATTTGCAAAATCTGTAGTGCCCAACTCTTATTAAGGTCAGACAGGGGTTGCACTGGGCAGCCTCCAGGTGTGAATGTAATCAGGGTATTCCTGAAAAACAGAACCTCCTCAGTGAAGCTGCCCCGAATAAATAAAAGTTAAAATATATTTATGACAGACTCGTGTTCAGTAGTAACAAATGTGTTTTGGCCTGTTAGTATAGACAGGGTAGGGAAGCTGGAAACTACTGACAGACTGCCTAATGCATTGATGCTTTTGATGTTTACATGGATTTGACTAACGAAAATATACTGCCAATTTTAATTATAAAGACATATGAACATGGGGAAATAGCCACAACAAAGTACAATGAAAACACTCAACAAATGCAGTACTCACTGCATTTAACAGAGAAATGCAATGTTATATACTAACAATTTAGCTGGATTATCAAAGCCACATTATTTGTAAATCATAAGGGAGTGCACCCAAAAGATGACTTACCACCTCTGATTGCAGAGGAAAACTGTGCTTTCACACCTACAGTTGAAATAGGAATTTAGACTACAAACTGAGGCCTGTTTACAAAGGATCATTTGTTTTTACTTCCAAAGAACTTTGTCTCACTGGCTAGACTAGTATTGTTTTCTATAACGCTCTATGAAGAAAACCAGTGAGCTGACACCAAACCATCTGAGAAGCATTTTAGATTCAACAGCACATAGATGAAAACAGTACAGAGAGGAAAGGCTGTTCGCTGACTTGGCAAAATGCTACAGCCATATAACAATAACAACATGCCACACAAGTGGAGGTAGATCGAATTAATACAGGGCCAATGATACAGCTGACTTTAGTCATTTGAAGAAGGCAGCTATGTCGAAATGTCTGTTTTTAAGCCAAAGCCAAATTAAATACTGAGGGATCTTTGATTTTGTTTAAGCCTTGCTGAGAGCACCTGACGTGTTCCTTGACCACAGCCTATTTTTTAACATTATTAATACAAATTTGTAAATTTTTTAAAAATAATAAAAAGTAAAAGCCCTATGCAGTAATGAACCCAATTAGCCCATTGGAATGATAGGTTTGTTGTTTATCTGTGCATATATCCATATTCATTTTTGGAGCAGAAAAATTACGAGCTGCCCAATTAAAGAGTAAATCTCGATATAACAGAGGGCAGAGAGGTTGGTTGTACAGTATCTGTGTGGTGCAGTCTTTAATTCTCACTGCTCATTTAAATGCATGCCATTTCATCGTTCTTTTGTTGTTTTTTCTTAAGACATGTCTATCTTTCGTAATTCTGCCATGCACAATTGTAAATTAAAAGCCAGACAATAATTACCTGCTGTGATAATGAGAATTCCAGGCCAGGTAACAGGTCTTTCAGATAGAGATTTAATTTTGTTTTATGTGCTAGGCCATCCACACACACACACATTTCAAGCTGTTATGTGAGGCGTGCAGGACATGAATTATGAATATCCTATTCTGTCTTAATTTACTCAGCCTCTGTCTGTGTGGATGTAAGGACAGGATGGCATACTAATGAACTAATGTGACACAGTGTGGGCCTGCATCATACTGAGGCCTTGGTTTTAAAGGAGGTTTAAAAGACTGATCCTCATCAATCTTTGTTTCATTTTCTGTTTATTAAAATGTTCTTATGTAGATCTCAAAGGGTTTTTGGGCAAAACTGGTGTAGAAACAGGACTGTTCTCCTGTAAGGCTCTCCAGTTACCAACATGAATCCATCAGCATTTTTTTTTATTTGTCCCCAGAATGAACAGCATAGTTAAGTTTGACAGAAGTACAAGATATATTTTGGTTGTTCCTAACATGCATCCAGGTGTCTAGGTAGATTTGTACCAGTACTCCTTTCCCTTACATTCTTCCAGGTGTTTCCTGTCTACTGTAAGCATCATGTGAGACAGTAGGGTTAAATTTTTATCCTCTCAACAAAGAAAACAAAGAAAAGGTTGCTGCCATTCACTCTTCCTCCACAATGCAATACAATCTGTCACAGTATACACTCCCTAGCGTGGGATGACTATGCCAAAAAGCTAAAAACCATGTCACCTTCCAGACTTTACTTTTTCCTGTCATTTTACTTCCAAGTCTCACTGTGAATTGTATGACACTAGAAAATTAGTATTTTAAAAACTATGGCCAACAAAAAAGTAAAAGGTATTACAAAAAAATATATACACAACTTAAATCACAGGGGATGTTTACCCCCTCCAACATATGGACTATAATGTCACTGACAACTATTAAAGTGAGCCTAGCACCAAGTGCAACCAGGTGTGTCTGATTCAGTGCAACACATGTCCAGGCACCATTCCACTAAGTAAAATAACAGCTGTAACTATTCTAATTTCCCTTCTGATCACTCTTTTTGCCAACGTGCCCCAAGCCAACACCTCTGTCACCAGCTGAATATAACCACCAAAGATCACGTTCTACTTTGCTCTGGTCAACCTCCACTCCTCCTTTGAGAACTAGCCCTGTCTGGTCTGAAGATACTAGTTTACAAAATGCTCCAGGTAAAAATGTAGTCACATGTAGACACAAACTAAAACATTGCAAATATTAGTGAAAAACTGACTCTCTTAAATTGGCATAACAGAAAATAACATGCATAAAAATAAACTGAACTATTAAACCATATTTAAGATGTGATCCATGCCTTAGGCATTGATGAGTTTGCACATGTACCTCCTTAATAAGGCTAAATACATTAGATATTAACAGTAGCAATAAAAGAGCTGCCTTATAGTCAATATATGAATTAGACTGGAAAATATTTGAATCTTTTTTTCTTTAGATTGTGTGGTTTAGTGAGGTATGAACTTGTCTCTGTATAGTGAAAAACATCAAACTTGGGTCAGAGCTCATGCTAGTCCTTTGAAATCAAATCACTTTCCTACTGACACATTTTGTCTCTTTGATGTCAAAGCATTTGACACAAACGTTAACGGCTTATTACACGGTTCCGTTTTCTTTCCGCATTCCCATTAAAGGATATGCCACTCAGAAAACCATTTCATCATTTTTCTCGACACCTACTCAAGGTGTCCATGTCAGGCCGCTGTAACCTTTGACACCACAGCAGACCTAACCAGAACATTCTGTGAAAAGACAATTAACTACTGTACTATTGTACAGTGTATATGAAATGGTTATACCTTGATATCCACCACAAACAGCCTGAGGTAAAGAAACATGATGAAATACTTAAGTGGGCAGCAGATCACTGCAGGAGCACAGGGTCAGCGTTAAAAGAAAGAGGGAGGAAGTGCAGGTGTCACTCTGCTGTTTGGAGGCCTGGTTGTACTTCTGCTTGTTGCTGCTCCTTGTTGAGGATGATGCTGATGATGTCTCCCTCATGCTCTTTCATATGCTCCATCAGCCGCTCTTTACTGGTGGACTCAAAGCCACAGATACAGCAACAGAATAAAAGCATACAGTATTCCATGCCATGGCCTGGGACAGGGGCCTGACCTACGTGTGGCTGAGACTGGAGCTGTGCAGGGTCCTTCCCCTGGGGGCTCAGAGATGCATTGGGCCACTGTGAATAGTCTGGCATGGGTATGGGGACACCCTCTGAGCAGTCCACAGTCAGGCCAGCCGCTGCTGTTATAGTTAACGTGGGCCCTGGTAGAGGTTTCACAGGGCCCTTTACTTTGTCCTTTGCAGACTGGGCCGTCACAGGGTGCTCTGCCACAGACTTCTGTGGAGCTCTGGGAGAAACAAAGAATGGAAATATGAGGAAAAATATAACGGGAGAACAGTATTTAATGACTGAGTTGAAAATTTGCTCTTGTGGTCGTGGTGGCCCACTTGAGGAAAATTTCCAATTGCCTGTTGTCATCCTTTGACATGCATTAGTTATATATAGGAACTTGCTTTCCATTACTCCTATGATGTATATCTGACTAAGTTTTTTTTTTTTTTTTTTTTTTTAAAAAACCCAAAACATAGTTTTTAATAACTAGTAGAAGTGAGGAATGAAGTATTCAGACTCTGTACTCAAGTAAAAAGAGTAATACCACAATGTAAAAATACTCTGTTAAATGCCCTGCACTGAAAATGTTACTTAACAGTATAAAAATATTGGCATCAAAATGTACTTGAAGTACCAAAAGTAAAAGTATTCATTATACATAACGGACTTCATATTATTATATTATTGGTGTATTATCACATTTAATGTTGCAGCTGGTGAAACTTGAAAATAATTGGAAATACCTTATATGCTTACAATTTAAATGACTTTACATAGTAACAGACAGCAAGTGAATTTCCTATTGTATTTGAATTAATATTGTGTTTTGAATTGTAAATATGACTAAAATGTAACCAATATTTCTAATCAATGCAACAGTGTAGAAAGTGCAATATTTTAGTGAAGCTGTCTAAATACTCAAGTAATGTAGAAATACTTAAAAACTGGATTATGGTAGAATTATGTTTAAGTCGTTAATCTCAAATGTAGGTGGATGCAGCTATCTTAACTCAAGCACAGCTATTTTCATATAAATCAGTAACTCTCAGTTTAGCGCTTCGTAGCGGGTTGGCTTATCCTCACGTAGCCACAGTTTCAACACTGCTCACTTGAGGCAGGAGAGACAAAATTTTAAATAACTTAAAAACACAGCAGTGATATTGTTTAGTAATTTAACAGCTGAGAAAAACCTCCACCATCTCACTAATCTACCTTAAGATTTTTTTTTGGTTATTGTTGTTTTGTTTTATACCAGCTCTTTAAGTGTAGTACCTGAGTAAATGTACTTTGTTATGTTGCAGCACTGATTGTCAGGATTAAATTAGCTTAGGAGTTAACAAAAATCAGATGTTAGTTGAGAGAGAGGCATTTCCATATGCACAAAAACCCAATGCATCAATGCAACGAGTACTGAAAACTAAAACCTTTTGAAAGAGGCCTTAGAAAAATAAGTAATAAACCAGAGGTGATATTATCAACTAACCTCATCTACAATAGTGGACGTGTTAAAACAACTCTGGCCCCAACTAAATAAAAGCCTTGTTGTTATATGCACACATATATAGTATTAAAAGTAGCTTAATATTTTGCCAATTTGTCAGAAAAGAATCTACTGACTAACCGTACATGTAATTTGGGGATGTTGCTGACTATAATCGTCTGTATTATAAATGGCAACAAGAGAACAACAATGTAGAGTACATGCACATACACGCAAACATGCTCCCCACCATCTTTTCAAAGTTCAACAACCTTAAAATATTTCTGCTACTGTTAATATTTTACATACTGGTTTATATTTTATGTAACTCTTGTTTACTTCACAGAGAAAGTTATTAGAATCTGAAAAAAATTCTACCCGATTGTGGCCAGTAGGAACTGCTGATGTCAGGAAATAAAACCAGACAGTTAAAAATCTCCTCCAGAAACATTTTAAGGTATATAATATTCTGCTATAAAAAATATATAGTCAAAGAGTTTTTCCACAAAAAAAGTTCAATAAACCTCTGAAAAGAGCCTGAAAACATCAGGTCTCTGTCCTTTATTGTGAATTTCAAGATTCATAAATATTAAAACATATCCAAATAAGTCCAGATATCAGGCGCTGCTTCCCACAGGTAGACCGGTGAAATCACTGTTTATCAGAATATGATGACAGGAGGGAATATTGGAGAGATTCAGCTGAATATGTTTGAGCCTCATTCAGACCCAGACTCTGATCAGCAGTCTGTTCCTCACAAAAACTGGCGAATGGCAGACATCTCAGAGTTCTACGACGTGTGGTTAGCGTCTTATTTTAACATTAGATGTCAGCTTATAACTGGTGAATAACATAGACATTATGGTTTTACATTGTTATTGCACAGCGTTAACAATATAAAGAAAGTACGTAAAATGTGCACAGGTATTTAGAGTCTGGCTGACAGTTTGACAGTATGTCAGCATCTCTTTATTTTATCAGCTGATCCAAAACATAATCAGCCATCCCTGGTAGGCTAGTGGTTAAGGCACAGCGCTCTCGCCGCTGCGGCCCGGGTTCAAATCAGGGTTGCGTCAGGAAGGGCATCAGGCGTAAAACACGTGCCAAATGTCAACACGCAGGGCGTCAGTGTGACGATTCGCTGTGGCGACCCCTATACGGGAAAAGCTGAAAGTGACATTCATTCATCCAAACGTAATCTAGTAACAGGGAACCGGTGGAAGGCTAACTGTTAGCACTCAGTTTGGTTACAGCCAAGGAATTAAATGTAATACTCCAACAATGATACACATCTCGCATGTTAAATAGTAAACCTAGACATTGTAGGAAGAAGCTCCAGGGTCTGGTTTAAATCCAAAAACTGTGTTCTCCAGCATATTTGCTGTTAACAGCACTCCCACTTCTGGCTGAAAAGTTTTTATTCTGGGACCAGAGGTTTCAGGTTTTTCATGCACTCCTAAACTCCACAAGGTGAACCATGACTGGCTTTCCGATTTGTGGTGTCACAGATTTTGTTTGCCTGTCTATCTCTGACCCTCGGATTTCAGGGAGCAACCACACCATTACCATTAGTGATAAACATGCACATGAACCAGTCGGTATAGTGGAAGCAGATATTTATGGGGTTAAAAATAATAAAAAGAAAAAAACTGAGTACAGGACCTCTTTAAATAGTTGTATTGTATTATCTAACTGGGAACTGTGTTTTTTTTTCTGATGTATCTTTTACTTCATCAACCTGGCATCACAGATGATGAGCCTTTTCAAGGGTGGCCAATTCCAGTCCTCGAGGGCCGCTGTCCTGCTTGTTTTCCAACTATCCCTGCTGATTACCTGGCTCAGGTGTGTTCAGCCAGTCAGAAGCTGGAAGATACCAATTCACTTTATCTTTCCTCACTCCACTTTCATCTAAGATGGTATCTTCCAGCTTCTGACTGGCTGAACACACCTGAGCCAGGTAATCAGCAGCAGGTCAGGCAGGGATAGTTGGAAAACAAGCAGGACAGCGGCCCTGGAGGACTGGAATTGGCCACCCTTGCTTTAGCTGTTCCTGGTCCAATAAACGTATTGTGCTTTGCCACAGTAAAAAAATGTAACTGGAACTCTTTACATGTTTCAGCGACATTTTGAAGAATTTAGCATTTTCTAGAGCTTGTTAGTGTCAAATAATTGAAATAATCTGTGATCAGTAATAAGGCACATGAATGAAGTGCAATATTTAACAACCTGACTGACATTAAGCATTTTAAGTAAAACTGCACTAGGTAACGGTGTACACTACACAAGGACTACACATGGTGCCACTAATAGTTCTGGCTTTTAAAAACCATCACAACATTAAGCGAAGATATTGCATAACCTTTGTCATTTGAAAGTACATATCACCAAGAGTTTTGCAGGATCTCTGGTGCCCTATCAGTGGATATACAGTCAACTGTTATATTTAAACCCCACCGCTTTTATTACATTTTATATTTCATTTTAAAGGAAATCTGCAACACAAAGAAAAAACAAAGTGATGGGCTGTGAATACATTCTGAAGCCACTATATGTGCAAAGACAACAAGGAAACCTGAGAAAAACTCAAAGTACACGTACAGCTGTACTTGAGTTCATGTGTTTACCGGCTGCTCTGGGAGATTGCCTCATTAATGGCTTTGTTGACCAATTCGTAGTTGTAGTTCTGGTCTCCCGCGTGCTTCCACATGTGGGATTTAAGTGATGGAGGATGACTGCACACATAGCCACACAGAGAGCACCTGGAAGAGAGAGGGAAAAGGGAGAGGAGCAAAGAAGAACAACATGAACAAAAGCATCAGAGTGGATCAAGTCAAAGGTAATTTAATATGTAGACTGAAGTTCTACTAATCCTTCTCCTACTGTATATTTAGAGGAATCATCCTGATTCAGGACTCCACGGGGGACACACTGAGCTTCAGAGAGTGTCAACGTGTGGAGGGATGAAACAGGGTTTTACAGTTTAAGTCTTGAGGGACCAGCTGCTCAGACACTGCTGCTTCTCGATGCCACTCAAACACACAAAGCACTTTTGGAGTGGACAACTGATCTGATATGACTCAGACTCAAAGCAAGGTTGGAAATTGTAAACAATATGCTATTACTTATATGTGTGACCTGGTTCAAACAAATTCTGGTATGTTAACCTCCCTGATTTGGTTCATTAGGGCTGGTGTGAACAGTGCCAACAGAACTGTGACCCAACCAAACAACAGAATGCTGATCAGACTTTGTCTCATGGTCAAAATGGACTCTGGTGTTGCACATTCTTTGCTTTCATACAACTAAAGACCAGTCACAGGACTGTGGCACAGCTGATGTGTGACTGTAGCAGGGATGCAAAAGCTAAACTACTAATAAATCCATCTGCAGACTGCGAACTGTGAAGGAAGCGGTCCAAAACTGAATGAAACACAGCTGCCACACAGCAACTATTCCCGTTTATTATTATTATTATAGTAGAAAACGCCTCCTCTTCCTGTTTATACATTTCAGCATTATTCAAGACACATGAGGCCAACTCTGGGTTAATAATGCTCATAATCTATTATTGCTCTGTGAGCCATTTTTAAACACCACAGAAGATACAAAAAACCCATTGCTTTCAGTAAAGTGCAGCATGATGTCAGTCTGCTGAATATTCATTCATTCATTCATTTTCTACCGCTTGTCCCTGAACGGGGTCACGGGGGGGGCCGGAGCCAATCCCGGCCAGCCATCGGGCGAAGGCGGGGTACGCCCTGGACAGTTCGCCAATCCATCGCAGGGCTAACACATAGACGAACAACCAGACACACGCACTCCTATGGGCAATTTTTAGAGACACCAATCAACCTAAGCTGCATGTCTTTGGACTGTGGGAGGAAGCCGGAGTACCCGGAGAGAACCCACGCAAGCACGGGGAGAACATGCAAACTCCACACAGAAAGGTCCCAGGTGGGGCCCGAACCTGTGCCACCGCGCTGTACAGTGTTTAATATTATTATTACGACGTGTATAACTGTAGCCTTAGCCATAATATGTTCTTATGTTTAAGTCACGACATGTACTAGAGGCCGTGAGAATGTTTTTAGCTACACACCACTTAACCAACGGACACACACATTCACACATTGATTTGCTTCATGTTTCGACTACTGCCAGGGCCAGCTGCAAAGCTGGTAACAGAGACGTCTCGGTTGACGTTTCTGGGTAGTATGGGGCTAGCCCAACCGAGGGGGTGCTGCCCTCTGCTGAATATGATTTTCTAAATGTGGGTCCAAGTAGAACCGATGGTGCAGGATTACAGATACCAAAACTGTGCAGTGGGCGAGTTACCTGTCAGTCTACATGACTACATATTTACTCCATTTCTACACTGGACCTTAACTAAAAGCCCACACCGTGTCACTTTGTTCTTGGTCTAGACCAGGGGAACCGTGTGTGTGTGTGTGTGTGTGTGTGTGTGTGTGTGTGTGTGTGTGTGTGTGGTTGTGTGCTTCCCCCTCGCATTAGTACTGTCAGGAACCATGGGAAATCCAGCTTTGCAGGTACTAATGATGGCATAATACAGCACAAGTATTCACTGAAATGGAAATCAGCCATCAGTGCTTCTCTTTGGGTTGAGAATATTTAACATATTAAGGAGGACTGAGTTCTCACACCCATTCATCTTCTTCACCTACCAGTCACTAACCTTGTCATCAGAAGCCCATTTCTCAAGTCTCCAGGCTGTTGCCACCATGAGAGTTGCACCCGTGTGGTCACACACAAGTTCAGATCCCCATGGACTCAGACAGCCCCAGCTTCGTTTGGCCAGGTACAGCTCTTCACTGTCACCTCGGAGGTCTCTCTCTGTAGTGGATGCGTGTTTGATGTTTCTCACCTGTACTGCTCCAGCAGCTGCACGGCCTGGTGCTCCTGAGGGTGCCTCCTCATGTGGCTCTTTAAACTGTTCATATTAGTGGTGGCAAAGTCACAGCTACAACACCTGGAAGATGGAAAACAGGAGAGATGAGAAATGAGAGTGCATGAAGACAGAGTGGCTAGTTTAACAAGCTGCCTTCTGGGTCATCTTGCTGCTTCATTACACTTGTAGCCTGAGGGGAGATAAGGGGTTTAAAGCACGCAGAGAGGAAATTGCTACTTTAAGAAAAAGAATAAAACACAACGGTGTACACTTTTGGATGCTGCTGTTGGAAGATGAAACTAGCTTTTTACTTGCTAAGAGGCAAATACAAGGTCAGCAGACAGAGGCTACACTCAACTTATGTCCATTTGCACTGCATTAAAATAAAGTAACACACAAAGACATTTATAATATGAGGCCTACAAGGGGCCCAGATATTTAAATGACAGATTTCATCATTCCAAGACAAGAGGAATTTGGGGGGGGATTCAGCCATACAAGATACTGTTTCAATAGTGTATAATTGTTTAGACTAATTTTATTTGGAGTAAATAGGATTACACATTGCTTCTTCAAAGAGAAAATGGCATTTCATTATAATGATAATAATACTTTTCTTTTTAGAACAAACTGCTACTGTATCAAGACAAATACATTTCTGTACTTGTGGCTTATGGTGTGGTAGCTGGAAAATAAAGTGGCCTTGCCTAAAATAAAATCAAGCAAACTTAAATACATTTACTTGTTCCACCTTGAGAAATTTGGAGATACAGGAGCTCATTTTTGAAAGTAGTGTATTTGATTGCATTTTGGTAGACTACTAATGCAAACTACATTAGTAAAAAAGGTTTTTGTGAGTGCTTTGTTTTTTCTTCACTGTGAAAATGTATGACCGCCAAGACCTTGCATCTTCCAACAGGACAATGCCAGACCACATACTGCATCAATTACAACATCATGGCTGTGTAGAAGGAGGATCCGGGTACTGAAATGGCCAGCCTGCAGTCCAGATCTGTCACCCATAGAAAACATTTGGCGCATCATAAAGAGGAAGATGCGACAAAGAAGACTAAAGACAGTTGAGCAACTGGAAGCCTGTATTAGACAAGAATGGGACAACATTCCTATTCCTAAACCTGAGCAACTTGTCTCCTCAGTCCCCAGATGTTTGCAGACTGTGATAAAAAAGAAGAGGGGATTCCACACAGTGGTGAACATGGCCTTGTCAACTTTTTTGAGATGTGTTGATGCCATGAAATTTAAAATCACCTTATTTTTCCCTTAAAATGATGCATTTTCTCAGTTTGAACATTTGATGTTGTATTCTGAATAAAATATTGAAATTTGAAACTTCCACATCATTGCATTCTGTTTTCAATTCGCATTTTGTACAGTGTCCCAACTTTTTTGGAATCGGGTTTGTATGTACGTAGCTTCATGTTTATTGCATAGACACAAAAGTGACTGATCCTCTCACACTAAGCAAAAATCTAACTATTTCTTTAAGTTACAATTAACACGTTAACATGGGAGAACACCCTAACATAACAATTCCACTCCTAATATAAAATATGCTGTGGTAATAACTAACAATTTCACTGTCCCTTTTACAAATGACTTGCTCTTTATTACTGTAATAACCCAGAGCCTTATTGTCAGATGTCTCAACAAGGCAAATGTGGTTTGCTCTGTTTTTACATCTTATTTCTTCCACTGTAAATAGGTATAATCAGCAATATCATTTCCTCTCAAACTGGCTCTTGTGAGAAATGGTTTATAATCCTGACTTTCAGAAGTGTGTCTCACACAGTAAGAAAAGCATGGGTTCTGGCATTACTACAGTGCAGTACCATCACACAGCAGAGTGCACTACAGTGAGCCCTTTAAAGAGAGATACTCTGGTATCTGACAGCATGTTGGAGAGGAATGAATACCAGTGGTGCTTCAGTCCCTATAACTTTATTATCATGATGGACATTTTGGCACTCTGTTGCCAATTACACCGCAGCCTTCACTTCCTCTTTTTATGCTATGCAAATCTGGGGTGCCAACAGATGCATAGATGTCTCTGCAGAGGACTTTGTACAGCTACATGCTTCTCATATCTTACAGTATGCAGTGGCACACATCAGCTCCAAATGAAGGAGGAACACGGCATACCCTTTGAATTTTTATAGTCTGTAGCCCTTTTTTTGGTCATACCAGAGAGGCTGTACTTGTATACACAGTGTTTTTTGGACTTGTAAATATAGTACACTTTATAAGTAACACAAATTTTGGTCATGTTGGCTCTGTACTCAAGCACAGTCGACTGGAAATGAAACAGCGAATGAGGGTGAAGTGCTGATGTTCAGCTTTAATTTGAGGGTGTTTATATCCAGTCTGGGTGTACAACAGTGTTGTGTCATTATGATTCCTGACTGCACTTAAAGTTGAAAGTCAGCACTTTAACCTCACAGTCACAGTTTCATTTCAAATCCAATGTGCTGGAGTACAGAGGCAGGACACCAGGAAGTCTACCGTAATTTCCGGACTATAAACCGCTACTTTTTTCGCTTCACGCACACACCCTCATCATGGAAAACACACGACGAATGCATATGATGCAGCTTTCAAGTTAAAGGCAATCGATCTGGCTGTCGAAATATCTCATGTTACAGCATGGACACCTGTGGCTATGTACAAACTGTTTTTTCGTTTTAAATTTAGCGGGTGCGGTTTATATTCAGGTGCGCTCAATAGTCTGGAAATTACGGTAATATGGTCCAAACACTACAGACCACATTGTAGTTCTGATGGTCTCCATGTGCAAAATTTAATAAAGCAGCTCTACCTGTAAAAGCACAAGGACAGGACACAACAGAGACAGCACTTACTCATTCAGTGTAAGTACATACCACAGAGCCATTGTCTCTGTTACTGGAGTTTGAATATTATTTTCTTTTCACCTATCTGACTGTAGTTGGTGGGATATTTATATCTGGATCATCCTAATTCTGGTTTTTCTCTCAGCTAGTGGATGGTTGACCATTCTTTCGAGAAACAGCAAATGAATGTCACTTGAGCAGAAACAAGTCCTGTAATGGGTGTGTGTATGTACATCCATTAGAACTTAGGGCACATGTAACAGTGCACTGACACCAACCTCCATATATGTACACAAGGGCTAATGCAGAGTGTGGGTGGGAGGCACAATGAGGATGCCGTGTGAGGATGTGTATCTGTGCCTACACCATGAATCCACTGTGCTGGCATCAGCATTGCCAGGCATCTACTGCCACCTAATGGACTTTTCTTACATGGACATCTTAAAAGTGCATGGGAATGTGCATGGGAACCAGCACATGAAAAGCCAGGCTGCAGTATTTGGTTGGTGACCATCCTGATTGAAATAGAAACTACCAGGAACCAACAGAGACGCAAGAATGACATTAAAGCTATTCTGTTCACTTGCACCTGGTGCCAGTCTTTTTACCACACATTTGACTTGTGTTTTACATAAGTAATGTGCAGAAAAACCAAACGAATTCAGATCTTTGAAACTGACAGTGTAAAACTTACATATAGCAGAGCCCTACTATTGTGGGATAAAGCGTGCAACCTAATTCACACAGACGTCTGCACTGACATCATGACTAAATGCTACATGTAATTTCTGCAAATTACATGTAGCATTCAAACGTTAAAACAGAGTTTAGCTGCTAAAACAAAGGATCAGATTTAAACAAATTTTTACATGACATTTTGTTTGTTGTAGAAAACAAAATTCAAAACAAGGAAAACAATACAGTTAATGTATATATTCCAGACTCAAGCTACTGTCATGAAATATATATACAAAGGACTTATGCATATACATTCTTTTTTTACTGTGATTATTATGAAAATGTATTTTATCAATGAAATACATTTCATCATTTAAAAAACTAACAAAAAATTTTTTTCTTCCAAAGAGAGGTCGGGTTCCAGGAGACTCATTTAGAGTTGATTTCTGATAGTTGGTTTAATTTTGGAACTATTCCAAGTTACTGAAATACACAGATTCTTTACCTTCTGAAGTTAATGTTAACTGAACATAAAGCATCAAATACTGTGAAGGACACATTACACTTATTACTGTATATACTGTAGAGTCCCATTTCCAAAAAGGTAGGGATGCTGTGTAAAATATAGATAAGATTTGAATGCAATGATTTGCATATCATTCAAAACTGCAATCATTTAAAACTTACAGTATTTTAAAGTGACAATAGTACAAAGACAACGTATCAAATGAGATATACAGCCATGGCCAAAAATCCTGGCACCACCACATTTTTGGCAGATAACACATCACTTCTCACAGAAAACTGTTATTTGGTATTCTCATGTTTCTTTCTTTTGTTTGCATTGGAACAACAAAAAAGCCAGATATGATCCATTCCACACAGAACTCCAAACATGGACTGGACAGAATTATTGACACCTTTTCAAAATCAACAGAAACAGTTGTATTTCCAGCCTGTGATGCTCCTTTAATTTGTAATGAAACTCACCTGTAGCAACCAACAGGTGCTGGTGACATAGAAATCACACTTGGAGCCAGTTAAAATGGAGAAAAGTTGACTCAACCTTTGTATCATGTGGACGACACTGAGCATGGAGAAAAGAAAGAAGAGCAAAGAATTGTCTGAGGATTTGAGAACCACAATAGTGGAAAAGCCTGGACAGTCTCAAGGCTCCAAGTCCATCTCCAGAGATCTGGTTGTTCCTGTGTCCACTGTAACATTGTCAAGGCGTTTACAGTCCATGGCGCTGAGGCTAATCTCCATGGACGTGGACGGAAGAGGAAACTAGATGACAGATTGTAACGAAGGATTGTTTGAATGGTGGATAAAGAACCTCGATCAACTTCCAAACTAATCCAAGCTGACCTACAGGCACAGGGTGCAACATTGTTAGCTCACACTATCTGTCACCATCTGAATGTCAAGGGACGCTATGGTAGGAGACCCAGGGGCCCCACTGCTGACACAGAGATATAAAGAAGCCAGACTGGAGTTTGCCAAAACTTACCTGAGGAAGCCACAGTCCTTCTGGGAGAATGCCCTGTGGACAGATGAGACTAAGTACATCCTGCCATGCTTTTGAAAACTGTCATTCTTAAACAGTTGCAAATTGTGCATTGCCCAAATGATCTGTGGCCAGAAAGCTCTGAACTGTTCTTCGTATTATCTTTTTTACTTTTGTGCAGGCAGTGAGCTTCTTTCTAACTTGTGTATAAGATGTAGTAACATACTTGGCTGTGTGTATGACATTATGAAATCTGAAGACTAACAACGAATGCTGGGGCACAATATAGGGCCCAATGTGAGAAAGTTGGGTCTCTGTCAGAGGTCATGGGTCTAACAGCAGGACACTGACCCAAAGCAGACTTCAAAAAGTACCACAAATGGTTTCAGACAATGAGCCGGAGAGTTCTGAGGTGGCCAGCACTGAATCCAGGTCTAAATCCCATAAAGCACCTGTCCAGTCCATTTTTGGAGTTTTGTGTGGAATGAATCAGATTTGTTTTTTTCCCTCTGCTTTTTGTTTTGTTCCAATGCAAACAAAATAAATAAACATGAGCGTACCAAAGAATTTATGATTGGAACAATTTTCCCAGAGAAGTGGTGTGTTATCTGACAGAAATGCCAGTCAATGTTTGGAGTTCTGTGTGGAATGGATCAGATTTGGCTTTTTTTTCCTCTGTGTTGTTCCAATGCAAACAAGAAATAATCATGAGAATACCAAAGAATGTGATTGCAGCAATATTATGGGAGTGATAGTGTGTTATCAAAATTTTGACAATGACTGTATATGCTCATTTTTGGTGTCAACATATTTTAAAAAAAGCTTTTTGGAAACAGGGACTGATATAAAAGAAACAATTCCAAATCAAGCTTTGTGCAGCTTTAAGCTTCTTGTGGTTAAAACTCATTCTAAATGCTAATGAAACCAAACTCTACACCAGGTGCTCCTAGCTCCAATTGCAAGTAACTGAAATTTCAAGAGCTATTTTGGCACCTGTGGAAAATTCAGGATTGGCCAGCGAGTGGTATGAGTACATGCATTTAAGTTATAATGGCATATTTTTACAAGTACTTTTATTTTGTAACTCACCGATAAGGCTTGTCAGAGTTATGAATCCGCCGGTGGTTCCTCACCCCGACATATGTAGAGCTGGTGTAGTCGCACACATCACACTTATACATCTTCTGTATACCACAGTCTATAAAAAAGGGGAATGAAACTGTTCTTCAACTTTCTGAAAAAAGAACTGACAAAATTCATATTCCCCTCCTTGAAGCGCCACCTTATTGTGGTGGAGAGGTTTGAGTACCAGAGTGATCCTAGGAGCTATGTTGTCGGGGGCTATATGTCCCTGGTAGGGTCTCCCAAGGCAAACAGGTCCTGGGTGACGGGTCAGACTAAGAGTGGTTCAAAAGCCCTTTATGAATAGATTAAAATCAAGGACCGTGACGTCGCCCGGCATGGCGCAGCTGGGGCCCCACCCTGGAGCCAGGCCCGGGGTTGGGGCTCGAATGCGAGCGCCCGGTGGGCGGGCCCCCCCCCCGAC